TCCAGTTTGTGATGCAGCTCCTGGGTTCAGGAGGAGGAGTTCACCTCATCCAGTTTGTGATGCAGCTCCTGATTGCCGACCTGCTGCATCAGAAACCTTCACTGTAAACATCAGCATCCAGCAGGGGACGCCGCTGGTCCCCCTCCTGACTCTGAGCGAGCTGAGGGTCATGTGACCTGTGATAGGTTATCTGCTGTTTGTTCTTGCCGTGGAGGTCACATGATGATGATGTCACTCAGATGTGTATCTGTGTGTCTGCAGCTCTGGGATACTCTGTACCCACGGTGCCTAACGGGGTGAGTCGACTGCCCTCAGTGGGTGAGGCGCCATCTCACCCATCCACCCGTCACCCGTCTGTGGCCAGCACTCGCCTTCCGTCTGTGGGGGAGGAATCTACACACCCACTGCTGGTGACAGAAGAGGCGGTAAGATCACCACACATCATCTGATGTTCACCTGACCTGTGAGACGATGTTCTGTTTGGTCCTCTGACTCATATGACACTTTGTGTATCAGGTGCACACCTACGTGAACACCACAGGGCTTCTGGAGGACCAGCCCAGCCCACTCACAGTCACCACTCCCTTGGAGAGCCCCGCCTCACCGCAGGCCCAGGGTCCTCCCACCCCTCCACCGCCTCCCAGAGCCCGGGTGGAGCCTCCAGCACTGCCCACTCAACCAGAGCCCCAAGTGCTCCTGGAGCTTCAAGGAGTGCGCTTTGTGCTGGGCCCGACTCCTGTTCAGAAGCAGCAGATGGAGAAGAGGAGGCAGCAGGAGCTGCAGGAGGCCACTGAGCCCCAAGAGACTGACAGCCCCGCCCAGACCCCCACTGAGGCCGAGGCACCAACCACACACTCCAACGACTCCTCCTCCAATCCATCCACGGCTTCCCGTCGCAACCGCCCGCCACCCCTCACTCCCGACGTACAGAATGTCAACAACTCGGCTCAGCGGCGCACCGCCTTGCTGGACTACGAAAACCTGCCGGTGCTTCCGCCGGTGTGGGAGACCAGAAAACCTAGCGGCGAGGAGGAAGAGAGCACTGAGGACGGCTTGAAGACTCCATCACTCAACGGCTTTTACATCCACACCCCCTACACTTTGCTGCACCAGTCTTACTCCCACCCATTGAACCCTGGGCTATGCGAGCCCTCACACAACTACGTTAACACGGAGAATGTCACTGCGCCTCTGAGCGCGCACCGGCCAGACACGGCCCGCCGCCGTACCGATGGTCCCACCATCTTTAACTTTGACTTTCGCCGGACGCCCCTACTGGGCAGCGCAGAGCCGCCCAAAATTCTCAACTACATCGAGGTGGAGATGGACAGAAGCAGCGGAAACAAAGGTGCATCAGACGGTAGCAACCCCCACACGCCTCGCACCCCAACATCCCCGCTGCCTCCGACCACGCCCACGCGGCGCACCGAGCCTTATGCCCTTATTGACATTGAGCGCACCGCCGCTATGTCCAACCTGCAGAAAGCGCGGCCGCGTGACGACGGCACGTCGCGCAAGACTAGACACAACAGTACGGAGCTGCCGAGCAAGAGCACGGCATGATGTGCACAGAGCCGTGCCTGGACTCCAGACAGACAGGAGAAGTGACTTCCTGTGGTCTCACCTGTGCAGGTGAACTGGTACTATGTAATACCTCTGATGGTGATGATGTCACAGACTGTTTCTCTTATATGGTACACGTCAGTATTACTGAACAACATTCCATTTATCTTTTTGTACGAGTCACTGTGCTGCTGTAAGACAACACAATAAAGGTTCGCTTCTATTGATACTCACTGCAGAGAGCTCCGCCTCCTCACTGAGCACGCTGCCACATCATCAACCTCAATCACAAGAAGTTACATCCATCTTTATCATCATAGACAGGAAGTTGCAGGCAGCCTATAAAATCTAAACTGAATCGAAGTGTGTGTTCATGGAACAAAGATGAGAAAAGTTTACGATAAATTTTCATATGCGAGTTAAGGTTTCTGCTGTGAAGATCAAGAATTTTTATCTGATTTGCACTAAAGACTCAACATATCTACTTCAAATGCTTGCTGTTTTCAGAAAAAATAAATCCTGACATTTTGAGGACCAAAATGTTCACGTTTTGGACTGAGAAGACCAATGGTTTGAGAGGGGGGTGAAGGAAGCCATTTCAGATTTCTCTTGTAAATGAGTCCTCGAGACTCAATGGGATTAACCTGTCTAAATAAAGGTTGAATGAATCTGTAAAACAAGAGAAACCATCTTTAAACAGGAGGTCTCAGATTTCATCTGTTAAAAACCTATAATGCGACTTTAGAACAGTCATTTTCACTCCAATCAAGAACGCTGTTTATGTGACTAGAGTGGCCCATTTGTGAGTCAGACTAAAATACCCTAACAAACTTCTATTATGAGGAGTGAGAGGGCAATCTGCATGTGTATCTAGCTTACAGAACACCTCAACTCGCCTATCTCAAACTCCACACTCCATTCTTTGAGAAAGCTCCTCGGATGAGAAGCAATACAAATTAAGCTACAAAACAAAGTCCAGTTGTTTTGTTTTAAGCCTTTTTTTTTTTTTAGATTTACCACGTCCTGGATGACTGAGAATCTTCCTAATGATGTGTTACAAGTGAAAGTGCCACAAGAATTACTACCGGTAGTCTTTTCTGTAAAAACCTTGCTTTTGTTTTCTCATGTAGCTGCACAGTAATCCTACCATCAAGTTTGGGTTTGGTTTATTTGTCATTAGGGATGGGGACGATCCAGTATCGGCCTTTGATACCAGCATAATTTACGTATCGGATTTTTCCGATCCATGATGCATGTCTGTGTCTGCTGAAGTTTCCATGTGAGTCCCTGCCGGCTGCTCTGCAAGTGAGAAGGGGTTCTCTGCAGACCAAAAGTGGGCGTTTCTAGAGCGCAAACACTGATTGGCTAGCTGTATTTGCTGGCTCTTTAGGTAAGTTACTTCAACTCTTTTTTTAAAACTGAAGGTTTCTAAGAAACGGCGTTCTATCTGCTGTCAAACACAAGAAGATTCTCTTGTTCTTGGGTTGTCGGCAGCACCTGACACAGGTTGGCTTGAGGTCTGGGTACAATGAAATATGAAGCATCTGAAGTGAAACCTCCCATTTGTCAAAAAGTCTGGTCTCAATTAAAGATTGTAAGTCCTGTAATGAGATCAAACAAAAGCTAAAAAACAAAAATTGCTCTTTTAGAAGTGTTCTTCTATGAAATCTATTCTATGAAAGGAGCTGAAACATGGAGTAGGGTTGACCCTTAAAATGTGAGACAGCTGAGGAAGTTGACCGTTAAACAGAAATACCTGCTCCAGTTGCAGAAATCTTACAGAAACTGACAATCACTCATCTGCAGTGACTGCTTTAAAAGGTTGAACTAGAAAATGTGAAGTTAAAAGAAACATCCTGTGTCCCAAAGCCAGTTTAAGTATCATTATTTTGGTTGCTTTTTTTTTTTATTCATTCATTCAACCTTTATTGAGACAGGTTAATCCCATTGAGCCTCGGGAGACTCATTTACAAGAGACCTGATTTCTTAAAGCGTGATGACAACAGTGGATAACGACGACGACAATAGACAGTCATAAAATAGGCATACAAGTTTCTTTTTTCTTTTTTTTACAAATCAAAACAAAATGGCAACCAAAAGGACAATCACAAGGAATAGTAGCAAAAAACAGCTGGATTATAAGACGATTTAGAAAACTTAAAAACAGGAACATGTCTGCATTGGCTTTTGCCAGGAACTTAGCAGATGTTTGAAGCCACTTAGAGAGGTCAAGGCCGAGAGCTTCAGATCTTTTTGATATTTTTAGATATTCCAGGAAACAAGTGCGGCATAGGGGAAGGCCCTTTTGCCTAGTTCAGTCCTCACTGAGGGAACACTGCATGTAATAATGTCCTGAGAGCGCACGCTGTAGCTGCACTTGCGCAGAGACATGTAGGAGGAGATGTGTGAAGGCAACAGAACGAGAAGTGATTTAAAGATGAAAATGTACCAATGGAAGAGTCTGCGTGAGGTTAATGATGACCAGTTAATAGGGTGCAGTGATGGGTACGGTAGTTGCAGCCGGTTATGAATCTAAATGCTCCATGATAAGCAGCATCTGCAGAGTGCTTGTAGGAGCGTTCATATAGACAATTCATTCATTCAACCTTTATTAATGTCACCGTAGTCAATGGAGGGAAGGAAAGTCGCAGTTACAAGGCATTTTCTAGTGTTCAGAGTTAGACAGGATCTACTTCTGAAAAAGAAACCCAGTTTAACTTTAAGTTTCTTTACTAGGTTTTCCACGTGAGGATTAAAGGAGAGGTGCGAGTTGACCAAGATACCCAAATATTTGTAGGAATCGACAAACTCAACAGGGATACCATTTGAGGATAAAATCAGAGGAAGAACTCCTGGGACCAACTTCCTGTTTGAAAAAAAAGCATCCCTTTGGTTTTATTGGATTTAGGGCAAGTTTGAGACGGAACAAATCTGACTGGATCATGTCAAAGGCGGATTGCAAAAGCTGTAAAATCTTAGCAACTGTTTTAGCTCGACAATAAACAACTGTGTCATCAGCACAGAAATGTAAGGGTGCATCAGGGATGCTCTGACTACCTTTGTAGATTGTAAAGAGGGTGGATCCTAAGACTGAGCCTTGTGGTACATCATTGTTGACTATTAAATAACTGGAGGAAATACCATTATGTTGAACACATTGCCTCCGATCTGAAAGACAGTTAGAGAACCAACCAATGGTGTGATCTGAGAAACCAATTTCTGAACTTATGACACAATATGTCTTGCTCCACAGTGTCAAAAGCTTTAGATAGTTTGACAATCACTGCTTAGATTGCCAAAGACACGTTTAGGTAACAAAATTTTAATCAAGTTGAATTTAAACTTTTTTTTTTAATAATATTTAATTTACAGTATACAGTAACGTACAGGCTAAATGATACCCCTGTACTGTACACAGATTACACGTATGACCTCCCCATTATGGCGGCGTTGTTTACGTAAAAAGCGGAAGTCCGGCTGGGCTGCGCAGTGCAGTAGGTTTGAAAGCGCAGCGCGCGCAGCTTCGCGGTGGATCTGAGGAGAAGATGGCGGCGGTGTTGGAGCGGAGCTTCGTGGAGTTCTGCGGGTTCGAGCGGGAAGCGGAGCGGCGGTTCCGAGAGATCACTGTAAACCCAGGTGAGCGCGAGACCAGATCACAGTCGAAACCTTACGTTACTTTAAAGTTACAGTTCCGCTACCAGTCCAGGACTCCTCGTGCTGATGCTAACAACAGCTAGCCGGTCATTTAGCTGTTCTCGTGCGTGCTCACGCTTGTTTTCGTTGATTGTGTGAATGTCCCACAGCAGGTATGTCAGCATGTGCACCTGTCCAGGTGAGATTGTGGTGCGCTGTCGCTAGTTCCCGTGACTTGGCAGGCGTTTAAACGGTAATAATTGAGTTACTGGCTCGTGCTTCCATTATCGGACGCACCAGATTTCGTTTAAAAATGGTCTAATTTAACTTTCTGGCTGTAACTGCCGGTCAATATAACAGCATTTAGAGTTTTTAAAGGGCTTCAACCTGACTCCTGATGTCTTCTAAATGACGGCGTCTCATGGTGTTTGTCAACTCAGTTCAGTTTGTTTATATAGCTTCTGTTCACAGCAAAAGTTGTCTCAATGAAAGAAATAGTTCAAGTCAGTTTCACAACACAGTACGTTATGAAACGCCAACAAGTTAAGAAAACGACCTGCAAACTGGAATGACCTCAACATTACTGGAATTAGGAGGATGGGAAAGAGACTCGGATAAAAAGGAAGTGGTCCAGGTGTGTATGTGAAGAAAGATGATGATCACAATAAAACGTTAATAAAGATGAGTGGAGCGAGTAGACAGCAGCAGAGTGATGAGATGGGACTCAGTTTGTCCTCCAGCAGTCAACTGAAGTAAATTAAAGCACCTGTTTAAGCTAATTTAATGGAAATGCTGAATTTCTGACTGTTGATTAAAAATATACACACTTTTTTAGTACTGTTTGTGCAGCATTTTCTTTTACGTGCAGCTGAAATGTCTGTTTTACCACTTAAGATAAAACAAAGATGTTGAAGTTTGAAGCTGCTGCTTCAGCTGAAACATTCCTGGAGTCCAGAAAGCTTTTTCTTTCCTGGAACATGAAGGAAAATAAGTCCGTCTGTAATAACAAAAATATGTTTGATTTGGTTGAGATGAACTCTGATCCTCCATCACAATGTCTGCTTTCAGCTCCCAGTTTTCTCCTGTCGGGTTCAATAACGGCAGCGGTGTCAGAGCTGGACTCTGTCACCATGAATAAATCTGTACTTCCTGTCTGCAGGTGTCAGTGCTCCTCCAGGTGGGCTGAAGTACGCGGACAGCGCTGGAGCATTTCACTATGAGGAGAGCGGCAAGTTGCTGTCTGTTACCAGCAACCGGTTCATCCACTGGTGAGTCTGCAGCCACCGTAACATCCTCCGAGTCCGTCAGGCGGGTCGTATTGGAACCGTTTTGAATCGGAGCCCACTGCGCTTGCAGGTCGACATCAGGTGACTCTGTGCAGCTGGTGGAGCAGTCTCTGGATACCAACCTCCTGAACAACTCCGTCAGGCTAAAGTTCAGCCGCTGCAGTGCTCTGCCGGGAGGAGTCAGCATCCAGGAGACCCTGAACAATGTCATCATCCTCATCTGCACCGATCAGAGCGTCCACAGGCTGGTGCTGCCACACCCGGCGCGCATGTACCGCAGCGTGAGTCGCCCTCCGTCAGAAAGTTTCCACCTGAATGATGTTCAATGTCTGTTTACAGACTGGTACTGACGGCGCTGCCTGCAGTCCGCTGACATTTAGTTTATCAGAGGCTAGAAAAAACAATTTATCATTTTATAAAGATTAAAAGTGATCTGTTTGCTGTGTGTTCGCTTATTCATTAGGGACTAAAAGAAACGGTTCATTCTATAAAGATTAAGGATTAAAAATTGATCAGTTAGCTGTTGTTTATTTATTAAAGACTAAAAGTAAAAACTGCTTATTTTATAAAAATAAAAAAGAGCTGTCATTTGATTGTCTGCTGTGGTGGAGCGAAGAGGCGAATTGGAAATACCATCCGTCTATGTTGAGAGCGTGATAACTTGGAGCGTAGAGGGGATTGGGCCCCAGACTCTGGACCAACCTGCCCATTGATATTCATTCTATATTTATACAGTCTTTTTTTGTTGTTGTTGTTGCTATGTGTCGTATGTTTATGACAAAATTAGTTCTCTACATTTAATCCATCACAGGTGAGATACACCCAGGTGGAGCAGCGGGCAGCTATGTACGTGCCCAGAGAGCAGTTAGGGATTAGGTGTCTTGCTCAAGGACACCAAGACATGTGGGCATGGTGGGAAGTTGAACCTACAACTTTCTGGTCCCAAGTCGGCTGCCCTACCTCTACACCAGAGGTCACTAATAGGCGGACCTCGGCCCGGATCCAGACCGAGCGATGGTTCTGTCCGGACCCGTGCCCGATAAATTCAGGAAAATAGATGATTTTCATGGAGCATTTTTCCAGCGATAGACAGCTTGGGTTCAGAGCCGAGCAGAGACATGGGAGGTGTGTTTTGGAGGTTCACTCTTCTTCAGGTGTTACAGTTATAGCGTCACTCAGTTAATGAGCCAATCAAATCTTTTGTTTTTCCTGCACGGCCGTTGCAGCGAGCTCTCCCCAGAGAAGAGTTGAGAAGGAGCAGTGAGGCAGAGACGGCATGTCGTGCTCCAAAATAAGCAACGTTGATGCTGAAAACTGTTTTAAAGATGAATGGACAGAGAAACTTATGTTCATTCTTCCAGCAGGCAGTTCAAAACCTGTTTGCTTCATATGCTCCGAAATGGTTGCATTAATTGAAAGTGGCAACGTGAAGCGCTCTTCATCTCTTTTGAGCAACGTTATTGGATGAAGTCCGAGCAGTAAATTAACCGAACTGCAAGCCCCGTATGACAGACCCACCCTCCTCATCACAAATACTTTTCCAGCCCAGCGGCGTGCTGAATGTTCACTCAAGGTGTCGTGGATTTTGGGGCAACATAAAAAAACATTTGGCGACGGGACAGTCCTGAAGGAGCGCTTAAATGCTGTTGCTGAGACTTTTGATGGAAAACAAAAAGATGAGATGTGTGGGAAAAAAATCAAACAAATCCTGATGTGAGCTTCAGCAGCAAGCAGAAAATCATAAATATTAGCAGATGATGTGCTGGCACAGCTGCAGCTGTTCAGAGTCATCGATGAGTCTACAGATGTTACTGATAATGCTACATGAGAACGGCTCTGATTCCATTCTAACCACCAAGATTTAATTTACTAACAGGACAGTCCCATGTCCATTTCTCTCATTAAGAAAAAATAAATAATCGAAAGAGAAAAGGTGTGTTACCGGTAAATGCTCTGTTTTCAGTTTATTTCCTAAAAAAGCCATTTTTATTTATAGTTTTCTGAAGTGTTTGACTTGAAAACCTAAATGTATATAGGTTGGTGCCTCATAGCAAAAAAAGAGAAAAATGTTTACTGCTCTGTTTACACTTTTTTTATACTAAAAGAGCCACTTTTTAAAATAGTTTTCTGTTTTCTAATGATGTTAACTTTTTTATTTTAAATGTAAACCTTCGATTCTTGGACCTCTTCAGTTTAAGAGGAAAAGGCTTATTAGGCTCTGTTTGCACATTTAAGATGCATTTTATTCTGAGCTTTCTGTTTTAATCTGAAATAAAGGCCCTACATTTATTTGTCTGGGACAACTTTTAAATATGGTAAAAGAGCTAGTTGTTTACTATAAAGTGCAGTTTGTTTACAGTGAATATGTGTAGGTAAGACCAGAAAAGACAGAAGTTGGACTTTTGTTCTGACCTTTTACTAGGAGGAAATTTTAGTAACTGGACCTCAGTGAGTTTTAATGAAATACCTCTGGTCTACACCATCTCAACCCCTCCTTTAAATCTTGCCTGAAAATGTCTTGTTTTAGGTTGTTCTTAGCCTTTTTTATTATACTTGTGGTTTTTAATGTTTGTTTTTTTGTTTCTTTTTTTGCTGATTTCCTGTTTGTAAAGCACTTTGGTCAACTTTGTTGTTTTTAAATGTGCTGTAAGAGTAAAACTGACACTGACGTGTTTCTCTTCGGACCTGTTGTGTCTGTGCTGATGTCATCTGCTGTGTGACGACAGGAGCTGGTGACAGAACGCCACATGCAGTCCATCTTCACCGACGTGATGAAGCTGGATCTGCAGGACCCGGCTCACCACTCCGTCATCCCTGGCTGGGCTGGGCACACAGCCAGTCCCGGCGCCTCGGCGGCCTGGATCAGTTTCCATGGCGACGCCCACTTCGCTCTGGCTTCTCCTGCAGGGGGCATCACCGTGGTGACGCTGCCGCCTCATGACGCTCGGGGTGACCTGGCTGTGCGCGCGCACGTTGAAGCTGTGGGCGTGTCTGTGGTGGAGCTGAAGAGGAGCTCTGTGATTAGCAGGCTCTCCGGCTGGATGCCCACAGCCATCCGAGGTGAGCAGAGCTCGGCGGACCTGGTTCTGAGTCTGGCGGTCCGAGAGCTGGAAGAAGACTCCTTCGTCTTCGCTCTGGGTCAGGACCACAAGCTGCGCATGTGGTCGCTCACGGTGAGTCTCTGATTTCATGGTTGACTGGTCGGTAACAGAACCAGAACAAAACCATCAGAACATGTTCTGTACCGCTCAAAACCAGAGCAGAACTGGGTTCAAAAAGAAAAACGGATCGGATTTTCAGTTTTACTGTCCGACATCATACAGGTTTTAAATAGAAGGTTCTAACGGAACGCTTTTCGACCTTGTTCTTCTGTGTCCTCAGGATCAGACATGTCTCCTGGAGGCAGACATGTTGAAGTACATGCCTGTGTGTAAAGGCGTGAGGCGTCTGTCGGGTCAGGGTCACCGCCTTAAACTGGCCTTCTCGTCCAGAACCGGGCTCTGCCTGTGCGTTTACCTGGCGGTCCCTCAGAGGGGACAGTTCATCGTTCTGCAGCTGGTCGGAACCGACAACAACCACTACAGCCTCGAGCACATCTCCTCGCTATTCAGCACACACGTAAGACCCATGTCACAGCCATGTGGGTTCAGAACCACAGGTCCAAATAGGTCAGTGACCTGTGGGCTCAGAACCACAGTCTGAAAGAAAATAAAATCCTGAGAATTTTGGGGTTCTGTTGGTTTGTTCTGTTGTTGTTGGGTTCTGTTGGATGATTTAATTGTTAGGTTCCCTGGATTTGTGTTGTGGGTTGGTTCTGTTGTTGGGTTCTGTTCATCTGTGACCCGCTGAGGTCCTGGTTGAAGCTGAAGTGGTTCTGTGGACAGGAGACTCTGGTGGACTTCACTCTGACCCCGTCCGATGTCTGGGCCCTGTGGGTGGATGAGTCCAACAACACCCTGGTCAAATACATCAACTTTGAACTGTAAGTTCTGTTCACAGATGGTTTTCACCCAGAAGTTCTGATCCAAACTCAGATTGTCTGTCTACAGCAACACGACGGGCCAGTGGAACCAGGTGTTTGTTCAGCCTCCACCAGAAGAAGAAGTCCCTGTAGGAGTGGACCTGGACCCTCGGGTACGAGCCGTCACAGACCACTGGTTTCACCAGAATTCAGTACGATTGAAAGGCTGGTTCTTATGGCCCAATTTGGGTCTATCTTGTTGTTTTAGGAGACCTACCTGGAGGTTCTGTTCTCTCCTCTGAGGTTCACAGTTTCAGCCATCGTTAAAGCTCTGCAGGTGAGCCCAGCTGTCTGATAAGTGCTGCTTCAGGTGTGTGATCCTGAGGCTTTAAGGTTCTGTGGTCTGTCTCAGATCTTTCGTCGTGGCTCTGAGAAGGTCTCAGATCTGTCCTGGGAGAACCTGAAGAAGGAGGTGACTGTGGCTGTGGAGAGTGAGGTAATGTTTACATTTTCCACAATCCCTTGCTTCTGTCCGGAAGGTTCTCCTCTCATTAACTGCCAGCTCCTTAAGACAAAACATCTAAAATACTGTCCTGTCCTCGCCTGTCCTGCCCCGACCTCTCACCTGTCCTGTCCTGCCCTGATCTCTCGCCTGTCCTGCCCCGACCTCTCGCCTGTCCTGCCCCGACCTC